CTTTCTTTCTTTCTTTCTTTCTTTCTTTCTGTCTGTTCTTCCTTCCTTCCTTTCTTTCTTTCTTTCTTTCTTTCTTTCTTCTTTTCTTTCTTTCTTTCTTTCTTTCTTCTTCTTTCTTTCTTTTCTTTTCTTTCTTTCTTTCTTTCTTTCTCTTTCCTTCCTTCCTTCCTTCCTTCCTTCCTTCCTTCCTTCCTTCCTTCCTTCCTTCCTTCCTTCCTTCCTTCCTTCCTTCCTTCCTTCCTTCCTTCCTTCCTTCCTTCTTTCCTCCTTTCCTTATTGCTCCTTATACCTTGCCGACCTCCAACACTGGGTTTCTCTCACTGTCTGTCTTCTCCATTCCTATTTGTGGGCTCCTGAATATTACTGTAGGAAGTCAGACGACTGTGTAGTTGACTAGTTCTCTTACAAATGTATGTTATATTATCTTATCTTAAATGAGCCCTCATTGTGGCAATCTTTTTATTCTTTCTTTACTGACTTTCTGTCAGGCTATTTACTCTTTTATCCTTAAAACTGATCATAAGCAGCTAGATGACATTTTCGATAAGAATACTGAACTTGGAGGGATGAAGGCATGAATTTAAATTCTTCCTCTGACACTGAATTGCTGAATGACTTCGAGCAAGTCACTTAATTTCTCTCAGTCCCAATTTTCTTATCTGTAAAAAACGAGAATAATAATAGCCCTGAATTCACAGGGTTGTTGTGAAGACCAAATGAGATAATATTTATAAAGTGCTTGGCAGACCTTAAAACACTGTATAAATGCTAGCTACTATAACTCCCCTCCCTCTTTCAGCTGAGGACCTTGCTTCCTACTATACTGAAAAACAGAACCTATTTGTCTGGAGACTCCCCCTTCTCTTCAACTCTTACATCTCAAAATCATTACGTTGCTGCCTCTTTCCCCTACAATGTTTTACTGATTTGCTCTAGTTTCTGGGGAAGAGGTGGCCAGGTCAGTCTTTCCGTTTATGTCCTTGATCACATCCTCTCAAATCCTCTCGGGGAGCTTCCATCATGCCTCCTCTCTCTCTCTCTCTTTTTCAGTTGCTCCTTATCTACTCCAGTATCTCTCCCTGTTCCCTACAGATATACCCTATTCTTTCCCTTAAATTTTTCTTCACTTTACCTTTTCATTCCTTCAAGTTACCTTCTTACATCTTCTCCATTTCACAGTCAAACTCCTAGAAAAGTCATCTACTCTCATTGCCTTCACTTTCTTTCCTGATGCTTAATCCTGTACAAGTTGGCTTCTGGTACCGCCAGTGGATAGAAGTCATTTTCTGCAAAATTACCAACAATTTCAAATGATAAACCAAACAGACTTTCTTCTGTCCTCATCCTACTTGACCTTTCTGACCCTTTTGACACAGTTTACCACTTGATTCTCTTCTCTTGGCTTTTGGGATATAGCTCTCTCCTTGTTCTTCACCTGCCCATCACACTGTTCTTTCTCGGTTTCCTTTACTAGATCATTATGTCTGGCCTCCTAAGGATGAACATAATCCAACTTCCTCTCTTCAGACCTTTTCTCTATTTATTTTATCTTTCGTAGTGTTTTTATTAATTCTTACGTATTATATTCTCATCTTTATGTTGATGATTCCCAAAGCTAGATATCCAGATTGAATCCATTGAACTCCAATCTCATATTGTCACCTGCCTACTGGAAAGCTGGTATCTCAAATTCAACTGGTTCAAAATAGAACTCATCTAAACCTGCTCCTCTTTCGAACTTCCCTGCTTCTGTCATATCATCCTTCTAGTCACCCAGATTCGTGATTTCAGGAGTCATCTTTGACTCTTCTCTCTCCTCTGTCCCTGAAATCTAATCAGCTGTCAAATCTTATAAATTCTATCAGGGTCTTATCTCTCACCTTAACTATTTTTATCACCTCTTAATTAATCTGCATGTTTCCAAGTGTTTCCCTCCTATAATCCACCCTCCACATAGCTGAGAAAGTAATCTTAAGGTAGAGGTATGATCATGTCACTCTCCTGCTCATGAAGCAGCTCCTTCATATTATATACATGCATATGTATATACATACATACATACATACATTACATATGTATATGTATATATGTGTGTATATACATATCTATCTGTCTGTCTATCTGTCTATCTATCTATCTATCCATCTATCTATCTATCTATCTATCTATCTATCTATCTATCTATCTATATCTATATTTCTCAGCCTACTACTTAAAGCCTTCCTCAATTTGGCTTCAGCCTAGCTTTCTAGACTTTTTTTTCCTTTAACATATTATACTCCTTCATGTACTCCATATTCCAGCCAAACCAGTCTATATGATATTCACTAAACAGACTTGGCGTTCTATCTCCTGTCAATTTACCCCTCACATCCGTCTATTGGAACCCTTAGCTTTCTTCAGAGTTTGGCTCTCGCCATCCTATGTCTTTCTTGATCCCTCCAGTTTTTAATGCCCTCACTTTCATCAAATTGCCATGTCTTTCCTTCTCTGTGTATATGTTTCATTCCCCCCCCCCAGCAAAATATAAGCCCTTTGATAACAGGGATATTTCCTGCTTTTGTATTCCAAGAATCTAGCACAGTGTCTCATACTTCATAAATATTTGTTGAATTGAAAAAAAAATCACATATAATCTAAAGGGTAAGTATGACCCAGTGCTTCTTTAGGAGAAGCAGACTCCAGAGTGTTGTGTGGAGAGCACTGAACAAAAATTGCACAGCAGCAGTGAAAGGCTTGATCAAAGATAAAATTCCTACCAGCTACCAAAAAGTAGAACGACTGCCTTGAGATGTAGTAGGCTTCCCTTTGCTAGAGGACTCCAAGTGGAGGCTGGACCAACAGCTGTCACATGTGTTGAAGAGGGGTTTTTTCATTAGGGGCAAGTTGAACTAGAAGGCTTCAGAGGACTTTGTCTACTCTTGAGATGCCATAATTCTGTGATCCTTTACCAAAATCTCTTCCTGTGATATATACTCTCTAAACAATTTTTCTAATCACTCTTTTTCTTTTCCCAGTAAGATAAATTATTCCATATTAACATTGAACTTTTTTTTTGTTTATTATGGGAATTTGTGTGCATCTGATTATTTGGAGCTATTTTATAGTAATAATAAGCATCTGTATATCTTTGATATAATGTAGGGTTCCAGTTAATAATATTCTTTTGGAGTTGTTCCTAGCTTTTTTTTGCTACTTGAATTCTAATAGACTCTAAATATAGGTGTTGTGATATTCGAATCCTTAATACTATGTTTGAAATCTGAGTCAGAGAGATATAAAATGGTGAGTTAATTATTTACTATTCCCAAAGCACCATGTTTCCCATTTTGTATTTTTGGTTTTTAATTTTCACTTATGTTCATTATTCTTCCTCCAGCTATTCTAAAACTAGCCATTTGCTTTATTTTTGTCATTATCTCCATTGTTGGCTGTTTCATTTGATTTTTCGTCCAAAAGCAATTTTAAGGTCAGTAGAGTTGCATCAGGGTCAAGTAGTTTGATAAGAGGAACATCCACCTTTTTGTCATGGTACAGCTTATTTTTCAGGGTTATAGCTGCCATAGAGTCCATGCCAAGTGACATAAGAGATGTGTCCATCGAAATATCTTTAAGATTGGTATTGCTGAATTCATTTGCTAGGGAGTTAATGTAAGCTTCGTTCACTAGTGGAGATGAGTTTTCACGAGCAATTAAGTTAGACTCATCCAGCTTTTTGATTTCCTGGAAAATTGCTGAAAAACGGATGTTAAGAGATGGAACCTGAGTAAAAAAGTAATCCTGTAAATTTTTGTAATCAAATTTAATAATTCCTTGCTGAGGATTATTCAGAAGCAAGCATTTATGAAGATATTTATCAATTTCAGATTTCTGAAAAGTAAGTATTCCTTTGCTTGCCAAAAATTTTTGAATGTTGTGTTTATTTAGCAACAGCCCAAGATTCAAGGCTCCCCAATTAATGGACTGACCGGCAAGACCGCAGTTCCTCCGATAATGGCAGAAGATATCTAGAAAGGAGTTAGCAGCAGCATAATTTGTTTGGGTTGCGTTCCCAAGGAATGAAGTAACAGATGAATAACAGACAAAATAATCTAGCTCATGGCCTCTAGTAGCATTATGAAGATTTATTGCTCCTGCAACTTTGGGACCTAATACTTTCTCAAAGCGAGTGAGGTTCAGAGCTTCAAGATGTCCATTATCCAAAACAACTGCGCTGTGGAATATCCCTTTGATTGTACCCTTTGGAAAGATATTGCCAATGTAATTAAACACCTTTTTCACCTCAGAGGTGGTACTCACATCACACTGCAAACTAATGATCTTGCAGCCTTCATTCTGACTTTCAAAAGACTGCATTTCTTTTCGTTGCTCAGCATTCGGACTTCTTCTTGAAAGAATCACCACAGAGCCACCTCCGTTCTGAACAATAAATCTTACTGTTTCTAAGCCAAGACCAGAGAGTCCGCCTACCACAATATACGCTGCATCTGACTTAAACAATTTCCTTTCTCCTATATACCTAGGTATGTCTGAAATTTCACTTTCTGGTAACCTCTCTCCCAACACAGCAAGTGGAATGGCTGTGCGTGTGAAGTAGGAGACAAGAGCCGGCTGTGCACATGCACATGACTTCTTCTGTTGAAAAACAGAGTAGTCTAAGTTTGTCATCTCTTTCAAGTTCATTGAATATATCCATTTATAGACAGCCATATTGTTGCGTAGCAGAGCTGATTTTTGAAAAACCTGGCTCAGGTTTACTAGGTGAACTTGAATATGTTCATGGCCATCGTGAAGGAGTTGCTGCAAAAATTCAGGCTTGTGACTCCCGTAAACAAACACTACATCTCTGAGGTGGGAAAGATCAGAGAGCATTTCCACATAGGATCTTGTTAACGGGGGCAGAAAAATGAGAGCCTGACAATGTTTCACGTCATTCCATAGATGAGAAGAGGGCAAGACGTGACTGACTTTCCAGTCATCTGCTTTAGCAACCCAAGTTAGCACTTTGCTTAGAATAGACTCAGTTCCATGGAGATGACAGCAAGGGAAGTGAGAGACTTTGTATCTGAAAATAATACCTGAGTAAGAATTTTCCAAGCTATTACAAAGTATGACACACAAGGGGCACTTCTAAGAGCTGTGCATTTTTTCGTGTCAAGACAGACAGACTCAGGAATGAAGACCTTTGATGATGCAGCAACAGGGAAGCATGTGGCAATGTGATCTCCAACCTTCACTTCTTTCACTCCTTTGCCTGTATTGGTTACTGTACCGCTGAAGTCCAGGGCTAGCAATTTATGTTTTTCCACAGTGTGCTCAGTCCAATACAGAGTGTTTCCAAAGGTTGAACTAGAGGTGCTAACAGGAAAATAGTCTTCTGAATGGATGCATATTTTTTCTACCTGAACTTCCACAGTGTGGCTTTCAAGGTAAGTAACCCTGTGGTCTGATAATTGGGCAGACAGATCTGTTGCCTTATATGGATCTGCTGTGTATAAAGAAAACATTTCAGAGTTCTGAAGGTGCTTTGAAGATGGGACATCATCAGGGTCATGAAAAGGAGTAATTTTGACTTCAGTAGTATAAACTCTCCCTTGATCAATCCAGAGTTCAGGATAATCTTCCCCTTTATAGTTAATGATAGCTTGTGCTAAGCTTGCTATGTCCTGTGTACTTATAAAACTGATATCTATCATCTTAAATGTAATCTCTGGAACTTCCATAACACAGCTTCTTACCATACCGGGCAGAACATATCCAGGATTAATGTGATTCACGTTTCTTGATGTTGCTTTGTAAGTGACAACGGTCACCGAACAAGGATAGTTTTGTTCTCTCAAGGCCAAGATAACTTGACGAAATGCCTCACAACACTTTGCCAAGTGTTGTGTGATGAGCATTGCTGATGTTTCCTCACTTAATTTTTGTATGCCCCACATGAATAACACATCATGGAAACCCATGATCTCCTTTCTCATCATGTCACCTGTGCTTTCTGAATTTAGAGTTTTTTCCCAGTCTTCAAACATAACATACTTGGACTTGTTATGTAAATACGTTTTTAGTGAATTAGCTACTCCAAATTGGTCAGCAAACACTATGAACTTCTGTGGTTCTTCTAAATTCCTGGTTGCTGGGATGGGAGAGATTTCTGTCCATTCATTTTCTAGAAAGACATTATCGTTGCTGGCCGTTTGTGTCACAAACTTGAACCCCACATTCTTCAGTTCTGCCAAAACTTGGCCGTGTTTATTTGTGAAGCATCCACACGCTTCGACATAGCTCTCAGTGGACTTGCTGGTTTTTACATATATCTGCATTTCCTCTTCCAGGGTTCCAAAGACTGTCAGGCTGCCAATGGCAGTTGGAAATCCAGGCTTTCCTTCAGTTTCTATGCTTTTGGTGGCCATCACAGCTGTCATTTGCAAGAAACAGTCTAATAGCACTGGGTGGATGTGATAGTCATACATTTCCCCTCTGGTTTCTTCATTTACAGCGATGGTTGTTATACCTTCCTTCAGCTTATGACAGTATAGAATATCACTTAGTTGTTTTAAAATAGGGCCATATTGAAAACCGGTAAGAGAGAGGGCTTCGTAAGCTTTATTTATGGTGATGACGGATTTGCACCTTTGTACGATGCTCTCAAGGCAGAGATGTTTTTTTTCATTCAAAGGTTCAGTCGTTTTGGCAACACTACCTGTTGCATAAATTGCAGATGATAAAGAGAGTATTCTGAATTCAGCTGCTGTTCTCCCTACTCCCACTTGGATCTTCAAATCTAGGAAATTTTGTTTTACCATACAGGGAGCTACAAAAGTGATGCTCATCTGACATCTCTTTAAAGGTATTTTGGGTCTTGAGCTGTTTATTACTGAGGCTAAGCCAAGCTCTACAAACAGGGCACTGGGAATCAAAGGCACACCATTGCTTTTGTGCTCATAGACATAGGGTGTGGTATCCTGGGATATCACGCAGATGAATTCTGAGCCATTATTTGCATTGCTAATGAGAGGATGACTGCTACTGGCAGTGTTGGGATGTTGCTGAAGACTTTGCAGGTATTCCTTGAGATTCTGATGATCAAACTGATATCTAGGGTAGTCTGTTGGAATTGCTTTCAACCCATTATAGAAGTGTGACCAGTTGAGATCATATCCCAATTCAAAAAGATTTTCTACCAGAGCAAAAAGGGTCTCATAATTTTTCTCCCTTTGTAGGGAAGGAAGAACAAGTGTTTGTTCTCCTAAAGTTTCCTTGATGGTTCTTCTGAAATATGGCTTCGGAGCTATTTCAACAAATACTACGTTTTTCTTTCCTTGAGATGAAGCTTTGACGGCTTCTGTGAAAACAACTGGCGCTCGAACATTCCTGGCCCAATATTTGCCTGTAGTTAAGTCTTTCTCCGAACTTGCCCTTCCCGTTACTGTTGAAAACATTTCTGCTTCTGGCTCCTGCTTCGCCAGATTGCCTATAGTTTCTGTAACGTCCTTGACTATTGGATCCATCATGTAACTGTGATAAGCAGCTGGAACGGGTAAGATATATAGAAATATGTTTCTTTTCCCGAATTGCTGAGCCAGTTCTTCATAAATGGCACTCATAGAATCTGCATCTCCAGACAAAGTACAACAACGGGGACTATTGAAGGATGCGATGCACACCTTTCCAGAGTGAGGGTCTAGGGCTTTTGAGATTTCTTCCACAGGGATGTTTCCAACTACCAACATTTCCCCTCCAACCACCTTTGTCTGAAACATACTCCTGTAATGAATGACCTTCACGGCGTCTTTAAGGGAAAGAAATCCAGCGCAGTGGGCAGCAGCTACTTCCCCGATTGATGAACCTAGGACAGCAGCAGGTTTGATGCCCCAGAATTTCAGGAGGGATGCTAAAGCCACCTGAATTATGAAAAGGAGAGGCTGGGCTATGTCAGGCCTTGAAAAATCATTAAATTCTTTTTCTATTAAATCCAGGAACCTGGTGGGTTCAAATTGAAGAAACAAATTAGCAATTTCTTGGCACTTTTCTTTGAACACTGGCTCAGAGTTGAGCAAGACCTTGCCCATCCCCTTGTAATGTGCCCCATTACCGCAGAACACAAATATTAATTGAGGAGTCCCCTTGGTATGAGGTATTTGTGCATTAGCTGCTGAATTAAGCCTTTGTTGCAAATTCCCTAGGGAGGTGGTCACAAATGCTTTTCTGTATATGTGATTGGCATGGTTCCTTCTACACACCGATGTATAGGCCAGATTCTCCAATGATTCTCGGTTTCTTTGGCTCAGGTGTTGAGCAGTGTCTTCCATTGTGAGCTTGAGGGATTTACTGGATGCTGCAGAAAATAGAAATATTTCATAGGGCCTTTTAAGAGGTATCCTCTGAGGCTGCTGCTTAAACTGTCTGACAACAATATGAGCATTGGTTCCCCCAAATCCAAAACTGCTTATACCAGCTACTCTACCAAATTCTGTGGACTCTTCCCATTTTTCTACTTCTGTTGGAATGGAGAGATTTAACTTTTCTGTGTTTATGCTACTCTCACTCTCTGAATAGTGGAGAGATGGGACAATCTTTTCATGTTTCATCATGAGAAGGACTTTAATTAGGCCTGCTATTCCAGCGGCTGACTCAGTATGACCAATGTTGCCTTTCACTGAACCAATCTTCAGAGGAGGTACATTACTGGATCTTCTTCTACCAACAATGTTGCCCAAGCTCTCTGCTTCAATGGGGTCTCCAGAGGGTGTTCCTGTGCCGTGAACTTCAACATACTGCACATCTGATGGGCTGATGTGAGTTGAATAAATGCTCTCTAAGAGTTTCTCCTGTTGCTTCTGAGAGGGTCTGGTGATGGGAGTTACTGCTCGTCCATCCTGATTCACTGCGCTGAAGCTAATAACACCCCAGATTTTGTTGCAATCTTCTTTTGCCTGTTATAGAAAATATGAGTGAGTAACATGAAATGGTATTGGTTTCCTAATTTAAAAAATCCAAAGGAGAAATGGAACATTTTACTTTGAATATACAATTTGTCATTTTCGAAGTAGTATATCAATAGAAATGTACATGCATATTTTATGTATGTGTATATATGTGTGTGTATAATATGTATTTATTTTTAAATAATATGTATTTATAATATGACAAAGCAATTTAACTTTATTGTGTTTGAGAGCTATGGAGATGGACAATTGACTTCTACGACATGTTAGCTTTCATTTTATGATTTGTAAGTTAGAATGTTGGATATTTATCTGAAAACCATAAAAAGGATTTAAGATTTAGCCCTTTTCCCCCTCATGTGTGCTTTCTTATTTTCTTGTACTAATATGGTACTTGGTTTTTCACTGTTTTTCCCTATGGGATTCTGTGGGATCAGAATAGTGATGTATAGCATACAGAAGAATATACACTCTTTAACATGGGAATCTATGGGTTGTAAGGAGTTGGCTCCTTTGATATAGTGGGTCCATTTCAGGATTGATTTCAGGAGTTCTGAGTGACCCTGAGACATTATAAGGTGATTCCAAGTCTCCAAGGACCATCTCAGAGGTACTGGGAATCCCCAAGAGGGCTCTGGAACCATTCTATTCTCTTAAAATTTTGGATTTTTGGGATTATCTAGGCTAGGAATAGAATGTGATAGATTGACTTTTATTATATTTTTTTTGGTGGTGGTTTTATAGTCTATTTTGACCTGACAGGCACCTGGTATCTGCTTGATTTTCCTTTTTAAAACGTGGTTGGGTGCGAGGAGAAGAGAAGTTAGCAAGTTATCAGCTAGTATCCAGGATTAGGAGTGTAATTGTATTCTTCCTTCATCAGAACATATCTTGAATACTGCTTTCAGTTCTGGTTATCATATTGTATAAAGGACATTAATAAGCTTGACTATATCAAGAGAAGGGTAAACAGGATGGTAAAGGGTATAGAGAATGGTATAAAAGGATCAGTTGAAGGAACTGGGACTGTTAAGCCTGAAAAAACAAAGGACTTATAGGGGACAGTAAAGCCATCTTCAAGTATTTGAAGGGTTGTCATCTGAAAGAGGGATTACATTTCTGGAAGAGAGATTATGTTCTGCTTGGCACTAGAGGGGAAAAAACTAGGTGTAATAGGCAGAAGCAGCGAAGAAAACAGTTTTGGCTTGATATAAGAAACCCTGCTCCCAACAATCAGAGCTATTGAAAACCAGAATGGACTATTTGGGGATAGATGGATTTCCTTTCCTAGAGGTCTGTAAACAAAGCCTGCACAATCACTTACCATGGATGTTCTAGAAAGGATTCCTGTTCATGGTTATACTAGATGGCATCTAAGGATCTGAGATGCTCTGATTCTGAGAACTCTCACGAACCCCATACGAAATGTCCATTCTTTTAGAGGTGCTGATCTATATAGAGTTGGTTATTTACATACAGTCAGTACATATATCTTGGTTGCACACTGTGCACAGACAATAACCAGACTCAGAACTGAACAGAGAGCACAGTGAATGCCTTCGGGAAATTGTGTAGTGCTATTAATGGCTCCAAGCTTCTCCTTGAAACACTGGCCCATAAATTTAAGAATACAATTACATTCCTAATCCTGGATACTGCCTGATAACTTGCTAACTTCTCTTCCCCTGGCACCCAACCAAGTTTTAAAAAGGGAAAGCAAACAGGTATCAGGTGCCTGTCATGTCAAAATAGACTATAAAACCACCACCAAAAAATACAATAACATAAGTCAATCTATCACATTCTATTCCTAGCCTAGGTCATCCCCCCAAATCCAGAATTTTAAGAGAATAGGATGGTTCCAGAGCCCTCCTGGGGACTCCCAGTACCTCTGAGATGATCCTTGGAGACTTGGAACCACCTTATAATGCCCCAGGGTGACTCAGAACTTCTGAAATCAATCCTGGAATGGACCCACTATATCAAAGGAGCCAACTCCTTACAAGGTGGTTTCCCTCCTAGTCTTTCTGATTCCAGGCCTGGTGCTGTATCTACTGTGCCACCTAGCTGCTCCTAGAATGAATTATAGATGTATTCAGCAATTTTCATTAAGAAAAATTTCCCCCAAATCTTACCTTCTTTAGTGGCTTAAGTAAGACAATTCCACAGCCTTCACCTCTGCCATAACCATCTGCTCTCATAGAAAAGGGTTTACTCATTCCATCTGAAGCCATCATCTTGGCTTTACTCAGCATTACATTAACATGAGGATCTAAAATGTAACTCACTCCACCACAGAGAGCTGCTTCACAGTCTCCTGCAGTGAAAAAAAAAAACCAACCCAGAATATTTGCTTAAAAGAAGAGACTTTGATTTAAAGAATGTTTTTTTTTTTTAACATTCCATCGAACAGGATCTGGTGAATGTAAAAACGTTTTCTAAAGGTAATTGCTCAATAATCTCATTATGTTTCCTTTCCCCCTTAACTCTTCATCTTCTCTATTTCTAGCTACATACTCCACAACCCTCTTACAAGTGTATGTTACTATCGATTGCTAAATTTTTAATGCTGTAGGCCTTGTGTACTCAGCTATAAGAGTGTCATATTTCATTGGATTTTTGGAGTCCAACAGAAAGAAAGGGCTTTCATCAGCTAGTCCTATTTTTATTCTTTTTGTTTGTTGTTGTTCAGTCATTTCAGTTGTGTTTGACTCTTCATGACCCCATTTGAGGTTTTCTTTTTTCTTTTTTTTTTTTTTTAATGAGGCACTCGGGGTTAAGTGACTTGCCCAGGGTCACAAGGCTAGTGAGTGTTATGTGTCTGAGTCCGGATTTGAACTCAGGTCCTCCTGATTCTAGGGCTGGTGCTCTAGCCACTGTGCCACCTACCTGCCCATGTAGTCACCTTTTTAAAATAAAGATTCAATGAGTGATCTCTGGGGGCCCTTTCAGGTCTTGTAATTCTTGTTCCAAAATTCTGCAATGGCTTTTCAGATTTTTCCCCCTCAAAAGAGAATATTAAATATAGAGAAACTAGAAATAGGATTTGAAAAATCTAGTACTGGCTCCCAGTTTGCTTTGAAGTGCTTGACTTTCTGGGCATGGTTGACTGGGCAAATCATTGGATGTTTCAACCAACAATAGATAACCTCAATTGCACCATTCTTGGTGGCAAATAAATGGAGGGAAGAAGAGTTTTCTCACTCCAACCAAAGTAGTAACCAGTCCTGACTCTTGAGGATTGATATCACGTGAAGTATGTCTCCCATCAGCATAAATGTGTGGGGAATGAAGCATATTTTTTCAGACAAAGACAGTGTTTTATTTGTACTTTTTTTTTTTTTAATTTTTAGGCAATTAGGGTTAAGTGACTTGCCTAGGGTCACACAGCTAATAAGTATCAAGTGCCTGAGGCCATATTTGAACTCAGGACCTCCTGACTCCAAGGCCAGAGCTCTATCCACTATGCCACCTAGCTGCAGTTTGTACTTATTTGTTACAAAGGAGGGTTCTAATGGGGGTTGAGAGGAACCATTGGAAAGAGAAAGTGATGTTTAAAAATGTATCCACAAATTATTAAAAAGAAAAGAAAACCCAGTAATTGGTAATAACAGTAATTATCAGCATTACAACATTATTTTATAGGTTACTCAAGTTCAGAAAATACCTTGTTTAATGGAAAGGAATGCATAATGCAATGCAACGAGAGACGCTGAGCAAGCTGTATCTAATGCAATTGATGGTCCAGTTAGATTAAATGCATATGAAATCCTGTTAGCCGCTAGGCTCATTGCAGATCCAGTGACATTGTAATGGTTCAAAGATATGGGGATTTTGGAGCTCATGCACTCATAATCTCGATTCATAAGACCTATAAGCAAAGAAAAAAATGTAAATGAGACAAAGAAGAATATAGCACAAATGTAAATTCTGAACCTAAATTATTTTTCAGTTATTAATATCTGTCATCTGAATTTTCAGTCAATGTTTTCAGAAAATAAAGCCATAGAAATCTATTCAGGCACCCTTGCTTCCTGGAGTTACAGGTTTTCCAGCAAGGTTAGCAACAAAATCGATCTGTGTGAAATGAATCTCATTTTACTTTTTGTGCTAACATGAAACATGCATGCATCCCCCCCTTACACTCACATCCACACCCCCTCATACCCACACACAAACCCAGCATTGTCTTCTAATGAAATAAGTCAAAAACATTGTGAAGGAAGGTTGGTTGAAAAACATCTGAAAGGTTAAGATGAGATACGGGTTTTCTGAAATCTATTCTTTAGTTAAAAGTCTCTTGTTGGATGTTATTAAACATCTACTTAAATTCTGAGTTCCATTTAAAAATCTTTTTTATTGATATCATTTGTTTTTATGTCACTTTCACTTCCAAACATTTCCCTCTCCCTCTCAACAGAGAGAACCATCCCTGGCAACAAAGATTAGAAAAAGAAAGAGGAAAAAAAATCAGTGCAGCCAGACCAACCGATGCTTCTTCATGCAGCTCTTGAGAAATAAGATCGATGTTTTGTGAGTACTGCAAGATGTCATAGTTCTTATCATTCTGGCTTTAAACTCTCACCGCTCCATTGAAAGTCCTCTCAAATTGCACCATCGACCATGTAGTCACGAAATCCAAAGACTTTTTTTCAGTATTCATTCTTCCTGGTTGTTCTGTGGCTTTTGACATTGTTGATGAGCTATTGATACTTTCCTTATTGGGAAAGCATCGATTTTGGGAAAGCCCGCTTTGCGCATGTCCCCCTCTCCTGTTTTTTTCCCTCTATCTTTCCTGTCTCTGTAATCACTCCTTTTCTGGATCCTTCATTTGTGCCTCACTTTCCTGACCTCTTCAGTAGGTTTTATCATTGATCTTTTTTTCTTATTTTTTAGATGTACTTCCAACCTTGGGCACCTTCAATCCTTTCATAGCTTTAGCTTTAATGTATTTATCCTGTACTGTTGAGTATTTCAATTATCTGTTTTTGTGATTTATCCTACTTGTAGGTTGTGAACTCTGTCATGAAAGAGACAGTGTCTTTTCTCAATTTTATATGAGGTTTCCCAAAAGTCTTAGTGCAGTTTAAAGCTTTAATAGCTTTATTTAAATAAGCTTATAGGGGCAGCTCAGTGGCACGGTGGATAGAGCTCTGGCCTTGGAGTCAGAAGGTCCTGAGTTCAAATCTGGCCTCAGACACTTGACACTTAACTAGCTGTGTGACCTTGGGCAAGTCACTTAACTCCAATTGCCTCACCAAAAAGCAAAAAAAAAAAACACCAAAACCCAAAATAAATAAGCTTATGATTACACTAAGACTTTTGGGACATCCTGTTCTTCTCTTTGAAGTACAGTGTCCTGCACACATCAGACACAATGAATATTGATTGGATTGAATTGAACCTTCTAACTTCAGACGCGTGATTCTAAAAACTTTGTTTCTTTTTTTTTTTCTGAGGTATCAATAAGATGTATTGGAGATGGGCACAATATCATAGTTCACCAGTGGATGTTACCATCTTCAGATGATTAGATTCAGCTTGGCAATTCCTTAAATCCACAGATTAAATGTTGACTCTTTATTTTATTTTGTAAATTCAAACTTTTGTATTTGGAACTTTTTAGTGTAAGAAATACTTATCAATAAAAATTGGCATGTAGTTAGGAACACTTGATATTCTTAAACCAATCAGTATTTGGTTTTTCCATTAAAATGATTAATTTGAACTATAGCATGGGATATATGCAAATAAAGGTAGAAATTGAATTCATCAAATAACTTATTAATAAAAAATAATACTACTAGATTGTGGCTATCACAAACTTTTGAAATAACTAGTCCCCTGTTCTATATGAATGCAAAATAATATCTTACAAAGTAAGGAAAAATATTACTGAGATTAGTGGGGAGGGGGGACACAGAACGCAACCATGCCAGCCTTATTTTTCATGAATTTTAAGCCTAGTCAGGAGTGAGTAGATAAGAAGAGAGCCAAAAGGGACATTCCCTGAATTTAGAATTTCTGGGCAAGGTTCATTTGCCCCAGAACCCATACCTCATTGGGTTTACATTATAGCATCACAGTCATTGCTGTTTATATTTTCAATTGGTTCCTGAATTGAAAGAGTTTTGCCACAGATCATTCCATCCCTACTGTCTCACCAATGAAAACCCCAATCCTGGAGCCAGACACTTCATCAGTAGGGATTCCAGCACTCTCTAGAGCTCTGTAAGCACATTCCAAGAGTACTTTTTGCTGGGGGTCCAGACGCTCAGCTTCTGAGTCACTGATTCCAAACAGTTTGTTGTCAAATTCATTAAACCTATGAAGGAAAAGTAGGAAAAAAAGGAGTATGTAACAGATTACTTTAGCAAAGGTGTGTTTTTGAAACAGATTACAAGAGTTAGAGTCATGATAATTTCTTGCCATACCTTTACTGAAGACACCAAGGAAGCTGAGCATCTTAGCTCAAATACTTACCCCTACATACGATCAATTCCACTAAATTTCTCATTGGTTTAGGATTTTTAAAAACATAAATAAGTAGGTATATAAAGGTATATAAAGGTATATAAAGAATATATAAAGAGGAGATTTCAGAGAGGAAGTCGTCCTGCAGAAGAGATTTGAGTTGAGTCTTGAAGGAAGCCAGGAAAACTAAGAGGCAGGAATGAAGAGGAAGAGCATTCCAAGCACGAGAGACAAAGGTGTGGAGATGAGGTATGGAGTGTCATGGGCTAGGAGGAACAAGTAAGCCACTGTAGCTGGAGTGTGCATGAAAAGGAGTAGAGTATAAAAAGGCTAGAAAGGTAGGCAGGTGCCAGGTTACAAAAAACTCTACATGGCAATCAAATCCTTTACATTTCATCACAAGGGTTATAGGTAGTTACTGGAGTTATTGAATGTATTGGTGTTGTATTGACCATTGTGTATGGTGAGTGTATTGACCATTGACATGGTCAGACTGGGTATGTGTGGTGAGTAAGAGGAATCAAAGACGGTGCCAAAGTTTTAAACCTGGATAACTGGGAGGGTGGTGGTATATTGGACAATAATTGGGAAGTTTGAAAGTGGGGTGAATGGGAGAGGATGATTCATTCTGTTTTAGACAGAAGTCCACTTTAAGATGTCCAAAGACACTTGGTGCAGCAAGGCGGACTGAGATGGAGCCAACAGATATGTAGGAGGAGAACTAAGACAGAGCAGCATCACAAAAGCCAAGGAAAGAGAGAGTATTCAGGAGGAGGGAGTGGTCATCAACATCAGATGCTAAAGAGAGGTCAGGAAGGAAAAGACCTGAGAAAGGTAAATTGGACTTAGCAATTAAGAGAGTTTTGGTTAGTAATTGATTAGCAGTTAGGAGAGCAGGTTTAGTGAAGTGGTGAGAACAGAAGATAGACTGAAAAGAATAGGATAGTGAAGGAGAAGGGAGAAAGTAGAGGCAGGTGTATAGATAACTTTTTCTAGGAATTTGGTTGGGAAGGGAGGAGAGAGAGGGTAATAGCTTGAGGAGATGGCAGAATTAAGGGAAGGTTTTTAAAGGATGGGATAGGCCTGCACATGTTTGAAGGCAGCAGAGGAGGAGCTAATGGATATGAAGATTAGAGAGAAATTGAAAATTAGAAAGAGAAAGGGGATTATTGGTGAGATAAGCTCCCAGAACAGGTAAGATCAAGGACACAAGCTAGCCCCTTAGAGACTGAGGCAAAGGAAGAGAGAATGGGAGATCATGCCAAGCGGTTTTCAGGTACAGACTTGAGGAGAAGAAAAAGAATCAGAAATGGTAGGATTAAGAGGGAAATGATATTCTAGTTGGGAAAGGCTCTCCCCGTCTTTGTCTGTGGAAGTCCCTTTATTGAAAGCCCAACTCAGTTGACATCTCCGTCATGAAATATTCTCAATACCCTTTCCCTGTGTTCCAGCTCAAAGTAATCTTTCCTTCCTTCCTTTCTTTTCTTCTTTTTTTTTAGGCAATGGGGGTTGTGACTTGCCCAGGGTCATATAGCTAATAAATGTCTGAATTCAGATTCGAACTCAGGTCCTCCTGACTCCAGGGCCAGCGCTCCATCCACTGCACCACCTAGCTGCCCCCTAATCTTTCCTTTCTTGAATTTCTTATAGTACCTTGCCTAGGTCTTCTTTGTCCCCATCACATTCTACTGTAATCTGTGGCCCAGAATTCCAAGTTCCGAGCTTCCATGGACAGGATTCAGTCCTAGGAGAATTCCCACAAATCATTTTTTAACTTGTGCCTTCACTAAGAATTTCCCCTGTGAACCTTGATTTGTTCCCACTAAGATTCTAGCCTGGGACAAGGTTGCCGCAGGTACAGGTACAGGTACCCTTGGATTCTGTGCAAACGCTTAAGCCAACAATATATGTTGACTAAAAGACTGCCTTTATTTTACCCAAAGACAGAATGCAAAACCCTACAATCGTCTCACAAGAGCCCATGATATATGACATTCCTCATTCTCTCTAATAAGTTCCACCATCCTAAGGAGTCCTCATGCCTCCCCGTGATGTAGACTTCATTCATGACGCCCACCTCAGAAGTGAAACGCAGCTGGGGTTTCCAAAAAGACAATCCTTTCCCAACAGATCTGTGCTACCTAATGACTCCCAGAAGTGGAATGACAAAATCTAGATGTGTTTTTCTACATTGTGATGCAACCCCTTGTTTGGTCCTCCAGCCCTAGGGCCAGACGCTCTCTCCTCTTCTCTCTAGGTGCTCCAACTTCTTTTTCTGAAACGCCGGGTCCAAGAACTCTCACCACTCTCTCCTTGCCCTTGGATGGTACCAACACTCAGTCAATAGGATTACTTTATCTTTTGGGGCCGTGTGGCAGGATGTTCTGCCCTTGCTTCTCCATTGCTGCTATCTCTGGGTCTCAAGGGCTACCTGGAACCTGTCTTAGGGTACAATTCCTGCAAAGGTTTTAACCCAATCAGATCATGGCTATCATCCTCAATGATGTGCGAATGAGTCAAGCAGTGCCCAATCCCAAGAGCACTCCTCACCAGCACAAAAGAGACGTCATAAAGGGGCATGTAAATACCTTCTATTGGGAGATATCTTCGAAGGTCTCATCCTCTATTCTGATAAAATTAGTGAGGCTTTCCTCATCTTATTTAAATTAAAATACTTATTTATTTAACTTACTTATTTAAATTTAAATATACTTATTTAAATATCTCTAAACATATAAAAATACCAAATATAGAAATACATACTCATTTAAATATATTTAAATATATAAATATATACTTATTTAAATTGAAATATACTGATTGAAATATATGTCTAATTCCTTTCATCTACGTTCCTATTAAACTGTAAACTCCTTGAAGTTAGGCAAAGTGTCACTTTTCATTTTTGTATCCTTTAGCATAATGCCTCGTAAATAGCTAGTGCTTAATAAATGTTCATTGAATTTTACTGAATGGGATTGGTTAGAAAAAGTAAAAAGAAGGGGCAGCTAGGTAGCGCAGTGGCCTGAAGTCAGGAGACCTGAGTTTAAATCTAGCCTCAGACCAGACAGTTGACACTTGGGCTGGGTGACCCTGGGCAAGTCACTTAACCCTGATTGCCTCACTAAAAAAAAAAAAAAGAAAGAAAGAAAGAAAGAAAAAGCTTTAAAAGGAAGGAACAGGAAAAGTTAGAGGAAATCAGGGGAGGTTAGTTTATCTTGCCAGTGATTCAGTTAGGACCTTTAATAGTATTTAAGAATGAAGTCTGGTTATGAATAATTAGAATATGTATTTACAGAAAGTCTAGAAATGATCTTACCCTTCAGTAAGAGCAGCTCGTCTTGTCATGCTTTTACCAGGTTTGTGCTCATCTGGGTCATACCATTCGTCAACATGAAACCTTTCATTTGATATCTTTGTTGTACAGTTTCGGCCTTCCACAAGCACTTGCCAGAAGTTGTCAATTCCTTCTCCTGTTAAAATAATACCATTTCCCCCTATTGTTTGTTTTTAATAATTAGTTGTATTACTTTCAACTAAATTCATTCCTTGATTTCCCTCTAAGCTCATCTCAAGAGCTATTAGGGAGATTAGGAACTCTCCAAAGCTGCTAATGTTTTCCCTACCAAGCTCCCTTGTATATTTGGCATATAATTATATATCACGTTGTCTCCCTGTTACGTGTTATTTTCCTTCTCATAGAATATAAGCTGCTTGAGAACAAAGGCAGTTTCATTTTTGTTTTTGTGTGCTTAGCACAAAGCCTGAACTTATCAGGAACTTAGCAAAGGCTTTTACAAGGGCAAAAGTTTGTCAAAAAATTAACTGTAACAACAGCCACACAAAGCCAAGCAAGGAAAGAAAGAAGAGTTGTGAAGGAACTTACCCACATGAAAAATACTGTGATGGCTTCACATATAAAGTAAATACAAGTGAAAAGTGGGTTTATATTTTTGAAAATGTTCTAGTATCCTGCGTGTAGTAGGACCTTAATTGAATTTAATAGTGTCATGCTTAGAGAGAGATTTTCATATTTTAAGTGTTCTTGACCATTATAATTCTGCCTTCACAATATCTTACATATATACCTCTTTTATAGTGACCTGACCACCACCCGATAACTCATTTCTTATTACCTCTCATCTAGCCTGGGTGCGCCAGAGTAGAGGACTGGACTTGAAGTCAAGAAGAACTATGTGACTGTGGACAGATCATTTATGTTCTCTGGGCCCATTTTCCCATCTATAAAATGGAGATAATAATGTACTTTTCCACCGTATTATTCTAAAAAGGTCGAGTGATTATTACACATTAAATTTTGGAAAGGCAAGTGGGAGTCAGATTATGGAGGGCCTTAAATGCCATGACAAGAGTTCATCTTTTATCCTTAAGATAATGGGGAGCCACTGAAGATTTTTGAACAGGGCACTGATTTGGTTAGAACTGTACCCCAGGAAGGTCATTCTGGTAGGGATTTGGCTAGGGAGTGAGAGAGAGAGAGAGAGAGAGAGAGAGAGAGAGAGAGAGAGAGAGAGAGAGAGAGAGAGAGAGAAAACGTGTAATAGAAAATGCCTTGAGGAAGCTGCAGGAGAAAGGAAGTACTTGGGAAGAGACTCAAGATCAGAGGATCAGGGTGGATTGATGGTGGCTGCTCTGTGATGAGTTGATCAAGGCACTTTTGAACTGGATTCTCATTTCTATATATTGACTGAGAGGGGTCTCCCAGCCTGCTTCCTGCGTTTTCAGCTAAAGACTTTATCTATTGGAAGTGTGAGATAAACATAAAGTGGGAGCTGTGTTGTATCAGCAACATTCTCTTGCCTACTCCCAGAGGAGTGGCTTAACAAACTGAAACAGGACTCTGAAATGAAGGGTTTTAAAGCCATCCTTGTCCCTAAAGTCTTGGGACTTGAAGGGTCTTGGAAACCTCTAAGCTGCCCCCAGCAGATGGGCAGAAGTTTTATTTTTCTATCAGTTTATCATTTTTATGCATTGTTTACTGGTTTTAAAATTTTGATTCTTTGTCAAGTAAAATACTATATACAGCTAAATGTGTTCTATCTATTCACATGGGAAGTCAGCTATATCTTAGGAAATACAGGAAGTTCAGGAAAGAAGTAGGGTTTGCCAAGAGGTGGAAACTTGAGGCCAGGTTTGAGCTAGGTCCAGTACTTTGCCCTCCACACCACCTAGCTAAAAGACTTAAGTTATTTTAAATTCATTTTATTTTTAGTTCTGAATTCATCCCCCCCTCCCTCTCCCACTCATTGAGAATGCAAGAAAAACAAGATGTTATAAATATGTATAGTCATATACTGTATGACTATATAGTCATATTCCCATATTCCCATAGTCAAGTTCCCATAATAGCCATTCCCTACCCACCCAACCCCCCCCACGTTCCCCCCCCCAAAAAAAAAGAAAAAAGAGAAGAAAAAATAAGCTCCAATCTGTACTCTGAGTTCAACAGTTCTCTCTCTGGAGGTAGATAGCATGTTTCATCATGAGTCCTTTGAAATTGTGATGAATCATTGTGTAGATCAATATTCCTGTTTTTTAAAGTTGATTACTATATCGTTATATAGTGTTGTTATTGTGTATAAATTGTTCTTTTGGTTCTGCTTTGCATCAATTCATATAAATCTTCCCAGATTTTTCTGAAACCATCACTTTCATAATTTCTTATAGCACAAGAGTATTTCATCACATTCACACATTGTAACTAATTCAGCCATTTTCCAAATTGATGGGCATCCACTCAATTTCCGATTCTGTGCCCTCACAAAAAGAACTGCTATAAATATTTTTGTGCCTATACTTATAGGCACTTTTATATACTTTTTATATACTTTTCCCTTTTCTTTGATGTCTTTGGCGGTATTGACCTAGTAGTGATATTGCTGGATCAAAGGGTATGTACAGTTTAATAGCTTTGGGGTTCTACCTCAAAATTTCTTAAAAAAGGAGGTCATAAAGGAAAATGACTTGATTTGAAGGGATACAAGAAGGTAAAGGACAAAGACTGGAACATAAAGAGTATCAGAATGAGAAGGAAGCTGAAAGATAAGAAAGATAGTAAGGCAAGGTAATAAGACAAGTTGATAAATCAAGTAGGAAGGTTAGTAAGATGAAGGAAAAGAAGTGTTTAAAATAAATATTTTCTGATTTTCCCAATGTTTCTTGTATATTTGAAACCAATTATAATGACAGGGTAAATTTTAACTCATTGTTATTTTAAAAAATGAAATAAAATAAAAAAATAAATTTCTCTTTGTTTTTATAAAAAAAAGCCTTACATTTGTAAACAGCAAGTAACAAGCTTTTATTAACAGTCTACTATGTGCAAAGCACTGTGCTTTCTTGTATAGTGTTTTATGGTGACAGGTCCCTCATAGATATTTTCATTTGATTTTAATTAATGCTACCTCAAGTAGAACTTTAGATGATTTTTCTTTTGACTCTGCATGGCAATGCACATCTTTGCCTTCACAGGTACACTCTAAGCATTGCTATAACATAGTCCCATCCCTCCTTTTTCCTAAGAAAACATATTACAATGCATCTACATAAGTGTTCCAATGATGCTGCCGTCATGTAGACCATTTCTAGAATTCCTCTTTTGGAATTGCTTGCTGAGCCAATTGCAAAGTCAGAGGAGGAAAAAAGATCAATCTCACTGCATCATGTCATGTTTTGGATGCAAAATGGTATTATCCAGTTTGCTAACATACCCTAGTCACCACTCTTGCTCTGATTGATTTTTGACAGCTTCTAAAATATGATATGCACTCTCAGAGAATGAAGATTTACTGCCATTAAGGATAATCAGAAGAACAGGACCCTAGGTACTGAAGGTACTTCCAAAAGAGGAAGTCCCAAAATGTCCTGTGCAATTGTCCCCATTACAATAGCTGCAAGACTTTACATGGGAAATGACAAGACTCATTTGGATCTATAAGTTCTATTTGTTTAAAAAAATCAGTCATATTACTTAATGGCTACATATTGTAGGTAATCCATAGGCTCGCCTACCCAGGGGATAGCAAACCAGGGGTATGTTAGATATATAGGTAAATCCTCAGATAGTTAGATCCTCAGAAATACCAGATTAAAAGAATTTGAGGGTTTTTTTTCACATATGTAAGGCATATTGGGAAATTAAACTTTGTTGAATATTTTATAAATGAAGCATAGGATGTTAGTACTTTTTATAAGTTCCAAAAATCCTGTTGGATATCATTGTTATTACCATACTCACCTCCTGGAAAATTGCAACCTATTCCCACAATTGCAATTTCATCACTGGTTTCCATAATTTCTCAAATTTGCTTTACAACTGCAAAAGAAACAAACAAATAAATGTCATGGAAATAAAGTGAGATCAATCACTTCAGATAAAATAAAAATAAAATGTACTTATCTAAATTGTAAACATCTTCTCAAGGATGAAATAAAAGCTAACCATTCACCAATCATCTCATCACTCTTCAAAGCCTCAGATGAATAAACATTGTAAAACATCAGGCATAATTTTCATTTCATTTCATTCATTTTTTTTAGGCAATTGGGGTTAAGTGACTTGCCCAGGGTCACACAGCTATTAAGTGTCAAGTATTTGGTCTGAGGCCGGATTTGAACTCAGGTCCTCCTGACTTCAGGGCTGGTGCTTTATCCACTGTGCCACCTAGCTGCCCCTATAATTTTCATTTAAATGTGTGACCCTGGGCAAGTCACTTAACCCCATTGCCTAGCCAAAAAAAAAAAAAAAGGCCAAGTCTAACGGCATAGCTCAATAATCCACAGTGTGATATTTAGGTGGCAAGAGGAATAAGTATGCAGGGCCAATTGAGTTTACATCTTATCAAAGAGCTACACTGACTAGAAAATTTTTTTTTATCCAAGAAATATTTCTAATTTATTTGAGCAATAATCCCATGACTGTTATTGTACTCCAAGGAAATACCCCTACTTAGAAAAATACTCATCACAGAATTATTCGTGTTAACAAAAAGCCAAGAACAAAACATGGATTAAATGATTGGGGGACTAATTGAATACACTATGAATTTATATGAATTCTATGAGCAACTGACCAGAGAATTTAACATTTCATTAATGATACAAAAGAAGAGTTCAGGATGGTCCTATTGTTCTTCTGGGCACACCTTTCAGGAAGAAAAGACACACACACAAATAACTGATACAAGGGAGAATACAACAGACGTGAAGAAGACTATGAAGGGCTTTGAAAACCAAACGTAGCATTTTATTTTTGGTCCTGGAAGTAATAGGGAGCCATTGAAATTTTTGAATAGGGAGGTGATATGGTCAAACTTGTGCAACAGTCATTTCAGACTTATCTGTCTCAGATCATGGAACAATTAGAGTGGTTAAAATAAATACCAAATTATAAAAAAAGTACTCTGTGATTGTAGTATCTCCAACCCAACTTATTTCAACAAGATATTAGTTCTCCCAAAATGGGGATTTGACAAAGCAAAAATGCTGCCATCATTTCTTAGTGAAGTTTAACTGATGAAAATAATCACCACCATAAGGAGGCCAAAAGGATGCAGAAATCACATTAGCTAGCAATTCCTTTGCTGCATAAAGAGAGAAGGTAGTCAAGAACAACATATTGTTTAGAGTTCAGGCTCATTCACAAAACGTTACAGAGGAAAATGATGGAAAACTGTGAGCAATATTGGTTCATAAAATTGGTTCACAGTCAGGAAGAAAACAAACCTGTTAAGAGTGTGGCATTTGATTCAGCTAGGCCGTGTCGCCCAGAGAGCATTTGTAGGTTAAAATAAGAGGGAAACAAACAGAATTGAACTGAAACAGATCTGCCTGCATCTTTATAGCAACTATTTCCATCAATGCGGATAGTGGGACCACCATGTTTAGAATCTACCTCCTCATTATTTTAATGTAGTATATAGTGAAATGGTAACAACACTTAAAAAAATCAAGTCAGGCAAAGTTCCTGACCTGACCAAATACACACAGAAGAGAACTGTGCTGTAGGTGACAATTTAAAAGGCATTTCAAAAATGATGTTTTCAAAGCAAGGAAGATTTCAAAAGAATGAAAAATATAGTGTGTAGTTCTTTAAAAAAATTTGGCTAAGAAATTAGTTGCTACTGATCTTTATGTCTTTTTTATACTTATAAAAATCTTTACAAAAATTATTATACTGAGAATATCCTTGATGAAAGCATGAAACATCAAGTAGGTCTATTTTGGCAATTTCCTGTTGCAGACCACATTAAAAAATCATAATTTAATTTCAAAAAAATAGGAAGAACCAGCAAAATACCTCAAATGAAACAATACAAAACAGAACATTTTGAAAAGAATATAAACATTTAACAAAAGCAACTTATTTCCCTGTGTTCCCTTCTCACTTCTTTTCAGTCTGTGAACTTCTTTAGTTTTGTTTATACATATATTATGTATGTAGTTATATATTTTTATATAGCTGTAGTCAGGATATGTTTTGTTTTTATTAAATTTCCATAAAAATATCCAACTAAAATGCTTATGTATTAAGTCATATATTTCTGTAATTTATAATTTTTTTAAGGAACTACTTTCACAAAGTAGTAACAAAAATGACTTGTTACTGTGCCTCATTCTGAACTATTTTTCTTCTGTGTATTTTCTGGATCTGTTATTTTTTATACAATTTTACACAGTAATGTGTATATTGGCATCAAGGACATATACTCCCCTGATGTGTTAACCAGGATTATCTCTCTACCCAAATACCTTCACTGACTCCCAATTTATACTACATAAAATTTGAAGTCCTGACTGTGTTATCTAAGTCCCTCAACAAATAGGATCGAGCCTCCTTGGTTCAACTGCTTCTTATATTACTCCCTTTCATAAAGCCTGTTCTAGCCTAAGTAGACTTTCCTTTCCCACATTCTTATCCTGTCCTCTTCCTTCTCTGTGCCTTTGCTAATGATGTCCTCCATATTTGTAACATATACCATTCCGATTCTTTCCATCTATTTTCTTTCAAGGCCCAAATGAAGTCTTTCTTTTCACCATTCCCATCCCATCTATTGAATATGAATAATCCCTGATGATGATATAAGGCTGCCAATCATGGAACAGCACAATCTTGGAAGAATCAAAATTACAGCTAACCCAAAAGATAATGGAAAGACATATAGTGGGTTTAAACAAACTGTCGCACATTACTGATGATGACTTGTGTGGGATGAGTGGTATAAAAGGTACTGTTAGGGACAGGTGTGACCAGAATAGGAGGTAGGTTGAATATTACATTTATAACCCTGACATATTATTAAAAGAACTGGGTGGAGGCTTCTGGAATACTAGCTAGATTCTCTAAGGAGAAACATCATATAGAATAAGGCAGAAACAATACCCATGCTAGTGAAAACACGAATCCATCAAATATAAGCACTGATAGTTTAAATTTTGTTTTTTCTTAACTGGTAGCTAGCTTCATTTAGAACTCTTATGATAGAAATATATTCTCATGGGGCTTTGTCTTTGAAAAGTTTTCTTCCTTTTTATTTGTTTATATGTTTATACATATTTTGATACTGTTGCATGTGATTGTTTAAAAGGGATTTCTAGTTTGAAAGGCTGAAAAATAGCTTCATAAGTAGCCAATTGTCTTTTAACTGAAATCTATTAATTTTTTTTTTACTGGGATGGATAGTAATGAAGTTTGACTGCTATAGTTTGTTGTCATGAAAATAACGTAAGACCCGAGTATCTAAAATAACATAAAACTAAGAGTTTGAACTGTGTTCTCTATCTGCTGTGAACTAGTTATGTCACTGACAGGTTCCTTTATTTTTCTTGGCTTCAGTCTCATCTGTAAACTACTTGGGATGAGTCAAAATATATTTATTATCTAGTCCCAGGAATGAAGAGGTATCATAATATACTGGAGAGACTGCTTGACTTGAAGTTAAGGAGACTTTGGTTCAAATTCTGGCATATACTAGAAGACTAGGTAAGTCACTTGACTTCTATGTTTCCAGCAACTCACTAGAGCTTTGCTTCTTGGAGGAGGGGATTATGGCAGCTAGAGTTCCTTGTGCTGATGAAGTCACAGATGATTTTGTTTGTGTAGTTGCATACTGGTAATAAACTCTGTCTTCCATAGTTTTAGTCCTGTCTTGTCATTTGAGTTCTTATTTCCATATATTTCTTGAACATTTCCGCTTGTTGATGAGGCAGCTAACTGGTGTAGTGGATAGAGGGCTACACTTGGAGTTAGGAAGACTGAGTTCAAATCCAGTCCCAGACACTTACTAATTGTGTGACCCTGGGTAAATCACTCAGGTTGCTTGTCTCGGTTGCTTCATCTCTAAAATGAGGGTAATAATGACAGCTACCTTCAAAGGTTATAAAGATCAAATGAGATAATATTTGTAAAGCACTTTGTAAATTGTAAAATGCTATATAAATGCTAGCCATTATTCTGATGATAGATGAAGACAATGACGATGATGTCAAACTCAACATGTTCAAAACTGTATTTGCAATTCCCTTACCTCTTCTCCCAACAACTGTCCCCACCACCATTCTTCCAGTCACTTAAGCCCCAAATGAAAAACTTATCAACCTTCTCTTTGGTCCTTCATAATTACCTACACCTTTCCTTTAAGATGTTTCTTTTTTAAAGATGTTTCTTAAATCTATTATTTTTTTCTCCATTCCATCTACCTTCAATTCATCCATTTTTAAAGTCATCTCACACTTAGTAAAATAGCCTCTCAATTATTCTTCCTAAATTTGATCTCTCCTCTGATCCATCCTGCATACTGCTGCCAGACTAATTGTTCCTTAAATATCCTTTTTATCATATCATTTGCTAAAAAAACTTCTCCTACTCCATCAAGTCTAAATCCCACCCAGTTTTTAAATCTTTCCATAATCTGGCATCATCCTATAATACCCATCCTTATTCCCATTACTCCCCCATGTATACTTTCAACTTTAGTCAGTCTCATTGTTTTACACACACACACACACACACACACACACACTCCCATCTCTGTAACTTCCATTGTCAGATCCCATTTTCTCTGTCCTATATCCTTATTCCCTCTCATGAATGCTCTTACTTCTCCCCCTCACCTTTCCAAATCCTACTCATCCTTCTGGACCCAGCTCAAATCCTACTTCTTCCATGCAATCTTCTCCAACTGCAACAGCCCACATTGATCTCTCCTCTTTCAGAAATTCTTTATCACTTACAGTCTGTACCACACAGTTTAACACATAATTATGTACTGTCTTGTAAGGTTCTATAATTGTTTCATCATAATATGGCCCCCACTAGACTCTAAACTCATCGAAGGCAGATACTGTCTTTTACACTTCTTTTGTATCCCCATAACACTTAGCACAATGTGACATACCTGTTGGCTTCTCATCAAATACAGGCTAATTGATACATTAATTTAATTATTTTACTATTTCTACATTGTGTTGGGAGGTTTGGTTGACAACAAAGAATTGGATTGATTAATTTATTGATGGTCATTATCAAAATTGAAATGCTAGTAAGATAAGTTTCAACCAAGGCCTCATCGTGGCTTAGAGGTGACCTTGGATTCTCAATGACTATACCAGTAGAATACAAATTGTGAGAGGTCCTACCAAGGTGGAAAAACTTTGAGCAGAATCATAGCGATTAATATTGATGCCCACAGCAACCAGTACAAACCAAATCAACTTTGTGATGTGAAAATAATAAAAGGATTAATGAATACAAATTCAATCAAATGAGAGAGGAGATTAGTTACTCTAGAAACCCACAGATGGATCATTAGGTAGCTTCCTATTTTAACTAATTATTCTTTAATAACTATGTACTAAACAAAGTTGTTTCCACCTGCTGAAAGAGTACATCTGTAAACCTTGTGTGAACAGGGAACTGGATAGCATGAATGTGGGTTTTCTCTCTTCTACAGGGCTCATAGACAATTTCATAGCTGCTCACTATAGTTAAAGCACCTTAAAGGTTCTAAAAAGAAACGTGAAATAGAGAATAGCCTATTGCTAGTTAACTATCTCCCTTGAAAAGGTTCTTACCTTGTGTAATTATTCTGCTCTGCTGAAGAGATAAGTTTTGGAGCATACCTCAAATTTCTTTTATATAGGCATAGGAGAAAATGGATTACATAATGGTTCTAATTCTCCCACATGATTTGCAAAATGCTTAAAGAGTGTTGAATAAAGTCCAGGAAAGATTCTAATTAATTAATTCAATATTGAAAATAATTGGCATCTGAGAAACACCTAGAATCTGACCCACATAAGAATAAACGCTTCTTTTAGAGAATAAACGTTTGAAAAAAAATAAACTGATAAAATCGGAAAGATCAGAAGCATCTGAGGTATGGTAATGAGGCTGGTAATGAGGGTGCTTTCCTGTCATTTGGCCAGAGTTTCTGAATTTCCGCTTAGAGAACACCCTTTAGTCAGAGAAGGTGATGGAGTAAATGGTATCTGTTGAAGGGTTCTAAGAAGCCCCATGGTCTGTCCTTTCCATCTCTCAATACTATGGTTCTCTGATCCCCAAATATCTTACTCATGCTGCTTACTTGAATCAGGCCTATTCTGGAATTCCCCAAGGCTGTATTTATGCTTATAACAAAGGTGGGGGCATTTTTCTAGAAGGATCACTTTCTCTCATGAACATGCATTTGTTCATTATATCATTTAATCATCACTTTGAAAACCACTAGGAGTCTAGTCTGGAGGTTGTGAGACAAAAGGCATTGGGATTGGGAGCAGGATGCCATAGCAATGGTGAGTCCTAGGTAACCTGAGAGCCTGTTTTATGAGGTTCTAATCAGGAATCCAGGCTTACTTGGGATGGCCAGGAGCACTAGGAAAGTTAGAATCAGCCTGAGGATACTGGACCAGAGGAGTAGTGGAGTCTGAGAAACCAAAATGGAGAAAAGATACCAGAATGGGAGGATAAAAGGGGAGTGAAGATATGGAATGAAAAAAGGAGATAGTGACAAAGTATGGGTACTAAGCAACAAGTTCAGAAGCATCTGTTAAGTACCTATTAAGGGCCAGGCACTGTGATGGGTGCTGGGGATATAAAGAAAGACAATAAATAGTCTCTGCTCTCAAGGAGCTCACCGACACGTAAACAACTATGTACAAGCAAGATATTACAGGATAAATTGGAGATAATTTCAAAGGGAAGACACCAAGCTTAAGGATGACTGGGAAAGGCTTCTTGTATAAAGTGGGGCTTTGTCTGAGACTTGAAGGAAGTCAAGGAAGCCAGGAGGCAAAGATGAAGAGGGAGAGTATTCTAGACATGGGGAAGAGTCAGCGATAAATCATGGAGTTGGGAGATGCAGTGTTACGGGGGAAGAAAAAGCATGGAGATTGGTGTCACTGGATCACAGAGTATATGGAGAGGAATAAGAAGATTGAAAAGGTAGAAAGAGTAGAGGTCATAAAGGGCTTTAAACGCCCAAAGGGGTTTTATATTTCATCCTGGAGATAACAGGGAATCACTGGAGTTTACTGAATAGGGTAGTGATGTGGTCAGACCTGCATGCCAGGAAGATTAGTTTGACGGTTGAATAGAGAATGGACTAGAGTGGGGAGAGGCTTGAAGCAAGGAGACTAACCAGAAGTCTATTACAGTAGTCCAAGTGTGAGGAGATGAGGGTCTGCAGCAGGAACATTGTGGTATTAGAAGAGAGAAAGAGTCTATGACAGATGTCATGAAGGTAGAAATGACAGTGCTTGGCAGCTGATCGGCAGATTTAGAGAGAACGAGGAGTTGGGGGTGACTCCTAGATTGTGAACTTTGATGACTAGGAGGATTGTGGCATCCTCCACAGTAATAGAAAAGTTAGGAAGAGGGGAGGTCTAGTTTTGGTGTGCTGAGTTTATGATGTCTGTGGATGTCTAGTTAGAGTCGTTTAATAGGCAGTCTGGAAATGTGAAAGTGGAGGTCAGGAGAAAGGTTAGATCCTGGTAGTATACCTGCTTCAAGATGACAATTGATTCTATGGGAGCTGATGAGATCATCAAGCAAAATAGTATAGGAGAAGAGAAGAAGAGCTATCAGGGAAGCTAGGGTGCCCCTACAGTTAGTAGGCATGATCTCATGAAGATCCAGCAAAGGAAACTGAGAAGGAATAGTCAGTGAGGTAGGAGGGGAGCCAGGAGAAAGATGTGTCATGAAAACCCAAAGAGACAAGGACGTGATCAACAGTGTCAAAAGCTGTAAAGGAGTCAAGTAGTATGAAAATTGAGAAAAGGCCGTTAGATTTAGTGATTAAGACAACACTGGTACTTTGGAGAGAGCAATTTCGGTTGAATGATGTCAGAAACCTTCCAATGGAGGATTTAGAGTCAAATGAGAGGAGAGTAAGTGGAGGCACCTGTTGTAGATGGCTTGTCAAGTAGTTTAGCCAATAAAAGGAGGAGAGATATGGGAAAATAACAATTAGCAGGAATGGATGGATCGAGTGAGGATTTTTTGAGTGAGACATGGAGTATTTGTGGGAAACTGGAAAGAAACCAGAAAACAAGGAGAAATTAAAGATAAGTGAGAGTGTGAGTATAGAGGGAGCAATTTGGAACTATGTCCAAAGGGCATACCCTTTGACCCAGCAATACTACTACTACTAGGTCTGCATCCTAAAGAGATTTTTTAGAAAAAGGACCTATTTGTACAAAAATATTTATAGCAACTTTTAGTGGTAGCAGAGAACTGGAAATTGAGGGGATGTCCATGAATTGGGGAATGGCTGAACACGTCGTGGTATATGATTGTAATGGAATACTATTGTGCTGTAAGAAATGATGAGCAAGTGGACTTCAGAAAAAAACCTGTAAAGACTTATGTGAACTGATGCAGTGAAGCAAGCAGAAGCAGGAGACCATTGTACACAGTAACAGCAATATTGTGCAATGATCAACTGTGGATGCCTTAGCTATGCTCAGCAATGCAATAATCTAAGACCATTCCAAAGGACTCATGATGAAAAATGCTATCCAGAGAAAGAACTGATGGAGTCTGAATGTAGATTAACACGTACTACTTTTCACTTTCTTAAATTTTTTTGGTCTATGTTTTCTTTTACAACATGACTGATATGGACATATGTTTTGCATGATTGCATATGTATAGCCTGTATCAAATTGCTTTCATGTCAGGGAGAGGGTAGGGAGGAAGGAAGGAAGGGAAAGAATTTGGAACTCAAGATTTTAAAAAAATCCCAAATGTTAAAAATGGTTTTTACACATAATTGGGAAGAAATAAAATATTATTAAGGAAAAAAAGGAAAATTTACCATTTCAAAATGCATCTCAATCTATTTTGGGCAGCTCTATTTGTTGCAAATTTCTTTCTTGATAGCGAACCAGAACTTGCTTCCCCTATAATTTATAATTCTGCCCTCCAGAAGGAGTCAGAGGATATGGGTTCAAATCTTTGCTGTGCAACTTACTATCCATGTAACCTTGGGTGAGTCACTTGACTCTCTAGGTCTGTTTCCTCATCTGTAAAATGAGGGATGTTAGAATGAATGACATCTAAGGCTCCTTACAATTCTAAATCTATGATTCTATGATCTTCCACGTAACAGGCCTTCAGATATTTGAAAAGAGTTATTGTGTCTTCCCTAAATCTTTTCTTCTCTGTGCAAAACATTCCCAATTCCTTCTACTGTTTGTAGTATGACATGATTTTTAGACACCTTAACACCTCGGGAAACACTCCCACTTGTCAATGCTCCTCTACAAGTGTGGCTCCCAGAACTGAATTTGCTACTTCATATGTAGCTTGACCAATGCGGCATCTGAAGTTAGGAAGTAATCTATTCCTATATTCTGATCTTTTCTTCTAGTGCACCTTCAGATTTCATCAGATTTGGGGCAATTTACATTGTTGCCTTATCTATAGCTTGCTTTCACATAACACTCCTGTCTTTTTTTGTTCCCACGAATTTGATGATTAAGTCTTGCTTATCATATGCCAGGTACTTGCTTATCGTGCCATGACTCTACGTGAGTCTACATGTATGCCTGATTAGTTTGCAGACTGTTGAACTTCTGTCTGGGACTTTGATTGCATCTCCCTATGGAGGGTATGTCTATGTCTGTTTGCTCTTATTGTTCTCATTACTCACTGAGGATTGGAATTTGAGGCTCTTCTATTGGGGATGAGATGACTGCTTGACTTGTTATGGAAT